ATCTATTCTTAAAAACGCGTCAAGCAGTGGGTGATTCTGCACTTTACCCAAAATTCTATCGCAGACTTTTCCATCAGAGGCAATTCCCAAATTGTTAAATCCATAGGATATTAAAAAAGGAATTAAAAATTAAAGTAGTATTTCAATGGCATCTTAAGAAATATAGAACTATATAAACTTACACAATCTGAAAGCATCACATACGCTAGATTTGACGCGCTGTTAAATGGGCGCGTTTGCTAGATTTGGCGCGTTTGCGCATACATATCCACTGCAATTTTCTTACGGCCCTCAAAACAGAATAGTACCGAAATTTGTCTCAATATGCAAAACAGTGTTTGTTCTCATTAGTTTCTGCATGTTTATCGTCTAACTGTTAACCTCTCCACCTATGAGGGTTTACTTAATCTGGTAAAAGTTAAATAATCCGAACCACCTCCCCCCCCCCCGGACAGACGTGAAACAAATTATCACTATGTCTGAAAGTAACTATAAATTATATAATAAATTTAAATAAAGGTTTAAATAAGCTTCTTATTCAAAAAGAACTTGGAACATATAGGCCTGTTCTTATGCTAACAAAATCAATTACAGTTTGTGTTGATATAATTAAACAAGAAGAGTCAAATTCAAACTAAAAATATGGACTAGCGGTCAAAGACTATACAATTTAATTTCAAATTAATCTGGTCAGTAACTCTATTGTCATAATAAACTCAAATGTCAGCAGCAGTAATGGAAAGACTAATAATTGCAAATTATCAGAACTGACAGAACTAATGCAGGGAGCAAGTGGAGGTCAGAAACACACTTGTCTTACACTCCAAAAACCTCAGTTTAAAAACTGTCTAAGTGATTTGCATTCTGGTGAGGAAATAGAAATGGGAAATTACAGTAAAGGCTGACTGTAAACAACTGGGTAATTTACGTAATAATAACTGTACATATCTTTGAAGAATAATTTTCTTTCTCTTTACATATTTAGTTTCTTTTTTCAACACGTTTCCTTTTCACTTTAAATTTTTGGCATTTAATTAAAGACTTCTGTTATCCTAAAAGACTAAATGCATTTAGAATGTATGGAAAAAGCTGCTAATTTTATTTCTTTAGTAATACGAACATTCAGAAAAAATATGAAATACATATGGTAAAGTCTGGTCACAGAGCTGGTGTGGCATTAGAATTTAGGGATGCACTGTGCAACAAAATCTAGAAATGGCAAAACTTTTAGAATTTAGAGTAGGCATTGGAATCAGAATTTAGAAAGGCACCAAGAAGCAGAATTTAGGATCCACAGAGACTGCATCAGGTGGCAAAATGCCTAGTGCCAGCTCTGTGTATTGATGCATCAAGACATTTAGATGAATCTTTTGAATTGTCAGTTAAATTCCTTTCTATAATGCCTGTCCATATGATAAGATTAGAAGTACTTTTAATATTTTCCATGCTTGTATCTAGTGAAAAGTAGAGAAAATAAAGGGAAGATAAAAATATTAAGAAAGTGATTCTAGAATCAGAAGTAAAACATTCAAGTATTACGTTTTCATTGTTCTTCCAGATGTTCTCCAAAATGTAAGAAACTGCGTGTTACTACCATGGAGACATTTTTCATTTTATCACATTTTTCTGGAATTTTTTAGAATTATGGGTCTATAAATTTGCCTTAAAATCTTTCTAAACTTTCCAAGCTTAAAGAAAAATTACCCCTACCAATTCTGTAACAGAAAAAAAGCCAGAAATGTTTTTTAAAAAAAAAAAAATTGGAGGAAAAAAGTGTGAAATTAATTTTATAAAGAAAACTGATGCATTTTCTGAGAATTCTGAGAAATGGGAAAAATTCTTAACATGAAAAAATTAAAAAGACATTTTTAATTAATTACATAGCTATTTTGGTTTTTCTAAAAACTGTTTTGTAAACTGTGCTTTATAGCATTATTACTTGCTTATTTTTCAGATTAAAAAAATTGTATAATATGTGGCCAAAATGGAACAAAATGTCATATTATAGACAGTGAAAAATAAAAATGCTTTATTTTAATGTTATTTCTTAAATATAATTCCAATTCTTAAATATAATTCCAATTTTAATAAAATTTATCAATGTTAGAATGTTCTAAAAAAATCGTCAAAAAATTCCCAGATCTCAGAATTAAAAATTTTCTATAGAAACAGATCTTAAAATCGCCAAAATATTGATAGACATTTTTCATTTTGGCACATTTTTCTGGAATCTTCTATAATCGTTAGTCTACAAATCTTGCTTTCAAATCTTTCTAAACTTTCCAAGTTGCAATGACTAAAATCCTAAAGAAAAATTACCCCTAACAATTCTTTAAAAACAAACAGCCAGAAATACTTTGAGAAAAAAATCAGAAGAGAAAAGTGTGAAATTAATTTTATAAAGAAAACTGACACATATTCTGAGACTATAACGTGGGAAAAACTCTTTACATGAAAAAAATTATAAAGAAGATATTTTAAACTAATTACATAGCTATTTTACTTTTGCTAAGAATTGTTCCATAAACTGTGCTTATAGCATTTATTAGCTTGTTTATTTTTCAGATTCAAAATACTGTATAAGTCGCCAAAATGGAAAATAATGTCACTTTATAATATGACAGGGAAAAAATTAATATTTTTACTTTTAATGTTTTTTTTCAAGTATATTTCAATATATTATCATTATTTTAATGAAATTTATCAATGCTAGAATGTGTTTTAAAAAAAAACATTGAAAAATTCCCAGGCCTCTGAATTAAAAATTTTCTACAGAAACTGGTCTTAAACTAGCCAAAATGTTGATAAGTCGGCTAATTTAGAACCGTTTAATAAAATTCACATATACAAAAGCGAAAAGTTGTTTAAGAGCTCTTCATTAGAAAAAATGAAATAATTTCAAAATGCTTATGTTTCACTTCTTGCAGACAGTAAAATGAGTTGTAAAAATAGACAGAAATTTCAAATAATTAAAATTAAAGACTTTCTGCCGATTTTGGACGAAATTAAGGATTATTAATGACCAAAAATTGATTCCAAAGACTCTTAAGGACCATACAAACCCTGAATTAAATACAGATATTAACTGATTACATATTTTAAAATCATCTTCATGGAAAATTTTATGAATGTCTAAAGATTAAAATAATTCATATCAAATAAAATGAAAAAAGAAAAATTATGCCGAAAATTACCCCCAGGCAGGTGGAAATTATAAAAGCTAGGTTACATTAATTCAGCAAATTTAATTGATTGCTCGGAAACACTTTTCTTAGTAAAGGCTAAAAATTAAAAACTGGGAAATTTTGTTATTTACCAAGAAACTGAGAAAATTTAATAAAACATATATGTTAGGTAACCCATTTTTATGATTTAGATCTATACTATAACATCTTTTCATTAGGATGGAAATGAATTAAGATTATTTAAGGTGAGGAGAGCTTTCGTCAGTGCCATCCACAATTTTGTTTTCAGTTCTTTTTACATTATTATCCCAGTATTCACCATTTTTGCTAGGTTAAGTTAAATCATGCCATTACATGCTTAGTTAAGCCAAACTTTGTAGTCTCTGGCTCCTTAACCATTTAAAATGGTAAACTGAATTTTTTGTTATTTAAATACCTAAAGTGGCAGAATTTCATTGTATGCACAAGTTGTGCCTTCCGTTAACTTCAAGCTTTAAAAAAAGGGGGGTTATCCTTAATAAGACTTTGTCATATTTTCACAGATGAAGTGATAACTCACTTGGCACAGTAGGGTCCGAAATACTTTTAAGTTAATATAAGTTTAGACACCATAATGTGATAAAAAGGCAGGGGAGGTAGCTGTTTTGTATACATATAACTTTCCAACAGTGCCAGCAGTTAATATTTATTATTCTTAAGTTTATTTGATGCAATCACTTCATTAATATTTTGCTTATATTAAACACTTCAAAAAAGCATGTAATTTTATTTTGGGAAAACTGATAGTGAATAAATAACATAACTGTCATTTATAACCTTAGTACATAAATACACAAACGCACAGCTAAAGTCAAACATCAAGAAGCATAAAAACTTGATTAAATTCTTCCCTCTAAGAAAAGCAGTAACAGAAACAGATACTGCAAGTAAATAGATACAATCTGGAAATCATGCATAAATACTATACAATAGGATGGAGACAGTTCTCAGAAGGCTTATAAAGTGGTAAAGACGCTTTCTGAACTTTTTGCAGCTTGCTAATAAATATATTTTGAACAAAAGACATTTAAAATGAACATTCTGCCTACAGGCTTTTGTGACTTCAGCATAAAGTTTCACAGCTGTCCTCCTACTACTGTTCCAGATGAGAGACTTTTTGCAACTTGCTAATAAATATATTTTGAACAAAAGACATTTAAAATGAACATTCTGCCTACAGGCTTTTGTGACTTCAGCATAAAGTTTCACAGCTGTCCTCCTACTACTGTTCCAGATGAGAGAATTTTCTCAACCTATGTTTAATATGAAATATAAAAATAGTTGTATGTCGAGAAAATAGAAAAACTGGTTAAGGTGTAGACTTCTCAAGTCAGAGTCAAAATTAATATCTAGATCGACTTGTGAAAATATATGGAAAATAATAACTACAATACACATGATATGTGCATATCTACAATATATGATATATGTGAAAATGTAATACCACTTTCTTAATTAAACAACATTTATTATTTTATAATTTTTATACATATTTTATAATTAGCCATCAAGTATAAACAAATACCTTTTGAATAAAATATTTAGCATGTTCAAAATTAGAACAATAAGATGAAGCTTTTAAGAACGGGCAAGGTTTCAACATAAAAGAAAAGTGACAAAACCTTTGAGAGAAGGTTAAAAAAAAAAAAATTCAACCAAGGGCAGGTGGGGAACATACAATTCAATTCTCATCAGACTGAAATCTGGTAGCACTAAGTATAAATAAAAAAAAATAAAAAGTTTAAAAAAAAATGAATCATTTCATTAAACACTTACATTTGGGGGTTTAACAGCAGATAATGTCTCCAATAACTTTAACTCTGAAAAATAAATATGCATATATTTAAATATTCCACAACGATCTGCAATTGAAATACAATAATGTTTAGTGGAATAAATATGCATCAAGCAACACCATAAGACATGCACAGAAAAAAATAAATCTAGCGTACTCAATTAAATAATCAGGAAATTTGAACAGATTGCAAATTTAATTCAAATATTAAATGGTGCAAAAATAAATGAGCAGAGAAAGAAAAAATGAAAATTACACAGATTTACTGCATAAAATAAACTCTCTCTCCAACCCCATCATACCTCCCAAATACAGAATAATTTATAATCTGAATTTTTTTAATAAGCTGATTACTTAGATTCTTAATTAGAATTAAATGTTTTACATAACAAATTCAAATTTCTTATATACCACAGTTGGCAAGTTTCTCCTATAGTGGAAAAAGTCCCATAAAAATAATCACAAGAAGAAACTATTTAGCTTACTTCATATTTGTATAATTCTAGCTATATTTTATTGGTATGTAACATTGTTGTGTTAAATATTTTCATTTTCTATACCATTTTGATAGTCTACTTGCACGCTTACAAAATCTTTTTCAGGGCAGGCAGGAAGAATACATATGCAGGGTGGTTATAATTAAATTGATCCTACTCAGACTTACGTAGAGCCTATTCTGACTGACATACTTCAGTAAAGCTTAGTATATACATTATATGGATCACAAAGAAAAGAAAACTTCAACAAAAAATAACAGTTTAAATTTCAACTACTGGGTGAAAAGGTGGTACATAACAAACAAGAAACAAAAACTAGAAACAAAACATTTTATTCAATCACAGCATTTGTTCCAAATGCATTTATTTGTGTCAAAACATTTTATTCAATCACAGCATTTGCTCCAAATGCATTTATTTGTGTCAATCACAGGTTCAAAGCATGTTTAAATAGCACAGAGTTTGAGATACTGCAGCAACATGACATGCTATGCTTGCTGTCAATTCAGAGAAAATCATATACTTCCTCCTTAGACAAGATGGTTTGGGAATCCTCACAATCAGAAGTCAAAGGGATTCAAGTCCAGAGAAAGAGTAGGCCAGGGATCAGGGAAACTTCTTGAAATTACTCAATCATCTCCAAAATAAGCACAAAGCAGTCCTTCATTTGTCAACCAATAAGGGTTGTTACACCATCCTGCATGAAGACAGTAATCTCTAAATAATACCATTCTTGTAAGGCAGAAAATTAGCAGTGGCAGGTACTGCATGATGGTACACCTTTTTCCCTCAGATAAAAGAAACCAAGAATTAAGTCATCAGCCAAACCTACACCATTCAGTCACACTGGGACAGTTCATGCACAAAAATGAAAACTATAGTACCCCATATTCAACAATACCGAGTACTCACTGCTCTACCTGGAGTTAAATGTATCTTGTCTGCCTACAAAATGTTCTAAGGCTAAAGATTCTAAGGTTAATTGGTACCGCACTTGGGATGCTAAACATTCATCACAATTTCTATATAAGCAGTTTATATGCAGTTACCAGAAAGTATTTGTTTCAACGCTGAGCAGCAACTTGGCTAAAAATTTTGCAGTGCAGAGAAATTGCAAGAAAAGACTGATGTAACATGCTGCATAGTAATGTAAACTGGAGCAAAGAATATCCTTGAAGCTGAAGTGTTTTTCACTGAAATACATAAATTTAAAAGTCTATTACCAATTGGTTCCAATTAAGGTCAATAATTCTGTTTCATATTTTATGTGTGTGTATATATATATATATATATATATATTAATGTATTCAATCTTTACCTTTTTAACTAAAGAATATAACTTAGGAAATCTATTAAACAAAATGATAAAATTTACTTCAATAATATTTTTAGGTACATAAATAATATCGTGGTAATAGAATAATAATAATTTCAGGAAAATAGAACACAATATTTACCCAAATAGTATAATTCTTAATAAAACTAATACTACTCAAAAAGAAATTAAATATTTAGATTTACATAGCTTTGACTTCAAAAATATTTAACTTTATGATCAAGAGGAGACTTCAGTTTTAAAACTATCAAATTAATTCACTGTGAATCTAGTATTTTGAAAAAGTTATTAATAACACTATTGTATTCTCAATTAAATACATACAATTAAAAAACTTGCACTGAAGTTGGATAAATATCTTCAAGAAGAGATCAATCTTTTATTTTTAATTCTGCATTACATAATAAAGTTCCAACATATTACATTACTAAAAAATCTGATGTGTACACCACATGACTTCCTAGTATGGAATATTAAATTATATGCATTTTTTCCTGCATTTCATTTAAACATATTGAATTGAATTAAATCTACTTCGTCGGTAGAGCATAAACCACAATAGAATAAATGCGCTTTTTAAAATTCACTAAATTTATTTACCATAGTAATACTCTGGCACTTGGTTCACTTAACAGCGTTTTATCTCATTCATTTTATAACTCAGAAAAAAAAAAAATTATATCAGCTGAAAAATTATCTAATCATTGCCACATGTTCTATTCAAATCCTATAATAAGTCTAAAACGATGTATAAAAGAAATTAAACAAATAAAAAATAAACAGTTTTTCACAGGCAATTCAGCACTGCTTACCTAATGTGTAGTACTACTTATTCGGTAAGAAGACAGAATTTTCGATGCCCAAAACTGAAAGTTTACTTTTGGTTTCACTCGGCAAAAAGACACTGAAGGCGTAGAAACTGACTTAATTTGTTGTGGATGCTATGCTGAGTCAATATATGCGATAATTTAAAAACTTAAATGATAATTCCAGAATGGATTAAGTATACTCTAATTTGCAATAATAAAAGAAGACGTTACTTTGTTGTTGCAAAGTTTAGTTTCTCTAGATTGGCAACAAATCCACTATTCTGCCAAATTTCAAATGTAAACAAGTATGGCTGTTATGGCAAAAAAATTAGGCTTAGCCACACTTGAACAACTTTCAAATTGTTCATAATTCGACAACTATAACATGCACGTTAACTAAAGGCATAAAAACCTTAAGCCGTAGATAAGAACAACATAACTCAATAAATTTTAAAGCAAAAAATGCACAATTTACAAACATATAAGAATAAAGAAACTGAGCTCACTGAGTCGAGTAACAGAGTGTATATATACAGGGTGGCCATATACATTGTGGACACTTTTGGAAAAAAATATGGAAACACCTTGTGAAATGCATGTTTGAAAAGAAAGATTGATTTTTTAATGAAATATGTAGGTGGCGCTGGCGTTTTTGACTACTGACGCCACCTATACAACTTCGTAAATGTGCTAAACAGTTCAGTTGTTGTCGGAGTACTGTTATGTGAGGTTGTTATTGCATTATGTCAGAGTTAACAGACTTCGAACGTGGGCAAATTGTTGGAGCACGTATGGTAGGTGTTTCCATAAACAAGGTAGCCGAGGTGTTTAGTGTTTCAAGAGGTACTCTATCGAAGATTTATTCCGCATATTTGAAAAGCGGAAAAACATCATCTGCTAAATCACAGCGCGGACGAAAGTGTGTCCTGAGTGATTGTAACAGACAATCATTAAGGGCAATTGTGACGAAAAATAAGAAGACCACAGCTGCAAAAGTTACTGCTGAAATGAATGTTGTGTTACGAACCCTGTGAGTATCAAAACAATTAGAAGGGAGCTTTATAAACAGGGAATTGCTGGCCGTGCTGCAATTGAGAAGCCACTCATCAGTGATGCTAATGCCCGTAACAGGAAAAGGTGTTGTTTAAGTCATAAAGCCTGGACTATAGAGCAGTGGAAGCGAGTAATATGGTCTGACGAGTCTTCTTTCACATTGTTTCCCACTTCTGGCAGAGTTTACGTCTGGAGAATGCCATCTCAAGCCTATAATACAGACTGCTTGTTGCCAAGAGTGAAACATGGCGGGGTTCTGTTATGGTTTGGGCAGCCATATCGTGGTTCTGTGCTAGCCCCATGGTAACTGTATCAGGGCACATGACTGCCAAGACTTATGTGAACATTTTGGCCGATCAAGTTCATCCCATGGTACAAACTTTGTTCCCCGATGGTGATGGTGTCTTCCAAGACGACAAAGTGTTCACACAGCTCACATTGTCCAGGACTGGTTTTCTGAGCACGAGGATGAGTTGTCCCATCTACCCTGGCCACCACAGTCACCAGACCTGAATATTATCGAACCTTTGTGGTCTACATTGGAATGGAAAGTGCGTTCTCGTTATCCACCGCCAACATCGTTATCTGAACTTGCCACTGTTTTGCAGGAAGAATGGTATAATATTCCCTTGGCAAACATACAGGAACTGTATTTATCCATTCCAAGAAGACTGCAAGCTGTTTTGGGTGCCAACGGGTTTCCTACACCTTATTAAGCAAAGAAACATGTTTTTTAAAGGTGTTTCCATATTTTTGTCCAACCTCTGCATATAGATATATTTATATACTTTTGGTGTGACCGACTGCAACCAAAATAGGACGTGCTCATCTACATGTTATAGCAGTCCTATATACAAAATTTCAAATTTCTGAGACTACTCGTGTTTGAGTTATGCGAGATACATACACACATACGTGCAGACGACACGAAAAAATGTCTTCAGAATCAATTTTTAATCAGTTTTATAATTTTTTTGGGAAGAAAGAGTCCTTTATTTTGTCCTTACCTACAGATATCATGCAAAGACATCATTAAACTGCATTCAATAATAGTCAAAATAGATATTTTAGTTGATATATGATACCCGAAGTTTTTCGAGATTACAATACTTCCTTTTTACTTCGCACAAGGAAGTAAAAAAGCAGGCATTAACTACCACATTTAAATTCAGATTTTATGTTACAAAATAAATTTTAAATCACATGGAGAATAATTCAAGATGGTAAATTAAATCAAAATAGTTTTAATATTGTTAACATGGAAATATTGTTAGTAACTGCAAATCGTACAAATGTTGTTAACATGTAAATAATATTGTTAATAATAGTAAATATTCTAAATATTGTAAAGGTTGTAAATATTTTACAATATTGCAACAATTTCCATTACTGAAAATAATGTAAATTGTTACTATTGTAAATAATTTGTTAATATGTAAATAATTCTGTTTTGTACAGATTTTGCAATTTAATTCTGGCTCTTTCCTGTTAATAACACAAAGCCAACTATTTTCATGTTCCAACAAAAGCTGTATTTAGGTGAAGATTTCCTACTTTAAACTTGCTATCCTCTTTTTCCATAAATTTGCCAGTATTTATTTATTAATTAAATACTTCACCTGAAAAAATGTTTCAAATTTACAACCTTTAGTTGCTTTCCATTTACTCCCAATTTAGCAAACCTAAAATTCCCTTCTAGCAACAAAAATTGAGATTCTTCCTATTTTTAAAATCACGTATTATCATGCCAATGTTCTCCTTTGTGATGCCAAATATCTAGCATATGCTTTTTTAAAACACTTTGGTGAGTTTTTTTTATGCAAATTGCACTATCAGGTTTGACCATTACGTTGTTTGGAAGACTTTCACAGGAAATGTTAGCCTTGCAACTTGGATACCACACATTTGCAGGTAATGAGGAATAGAGCCATTTTTTATTTCAGTTCACATTTGTGGCCACAATTCACTTAGCACTCTAATCATGCCTATTCACAAACATTTATATCTTTGATACTGTTGACAGGAAGACAGCAGTGAGGCAACATCTTAGTGAGAACAGAGGTAGAAGCAAAGTGTGCAATTATCCAATATGGAGGCTCACCCAGAGAGTTCTCAAAATTTTGAATTCAAGTTCCAATTCAGCTACATCATCAGCATTATGCAAGTCATAATATGGACTGATCTAGAACTAATGCAGTCCAAAAATAGTTATTACTATTTTTTTAAATACTGAAGGAAACACTCAATTTAAAAATGAGGAATTAAAGGGCTATTGCTATTATAATTCTGATTTACATATTTATGTGCATGTGTGTGCGTATATATATATATTTACTAAAGAAATATTGATTATGTTATCTTCTAATATAAATTTAGTAGAATTCAATGAATTTTAGATCATATATACACATACACAAAGAGATGTCAACTTTTGAGTATTGCTATCCATAATAATTAACTGAATTATGATCACAACAATCGTTCCCAAAATTGAAAGATTCAACAAAATAAACTAGATGTTAATCACTGAGTAAATAATTTCACTTTCTGCACAAGAAGTGCATTCAGTCTGTTGGTGAATAAACTGGTTCTAAACTCTTAAGAATCAAAATGTTTCTTCTGCACAATGTTGAAAATCATTTCAATCGGTAATTGCTGCGACATTCAATCGATGCATTCTTGTGAATAACCATTTGCTGAGCTCTCCAGATCTGTGCAGTCCACTTTAACCCGCTTAGTATGGACGTGTCATATATGCATCAGCAGCAAACATTATCTCACGGCAAGGTGTGTCATATTTGAATTGCCATCTTAGTTAACTCTATGGCCGGGCGTATCACATTTGACTTTTTAGATATTTGACTTTTTAGATAGAACATTTAATTAGTATTCTTTATTGCCACTAGATGTAGCTGTATGTCTGTTATGGTGAAATATAACTATATATAAATATAGTTAAGTATGTTTACCTTCATTCCTAGGCAATGCTTTTTATTTTTGGTATTTTGTTTCGGAATGGAGAGTGAAATTCGTGGGGAGAAGGGGTGTTGAGCGATGTAATGTCTCTTTAACTGGTCATTCATTTGATATAAACAAATGCAGGTATTCTCCCTGCATTGAGGTACTTTTTATTTTTGCGATATAGTGGGATAGGCATTCTATAATTAGAGATTTTTTTTATTACTCTTAGATTTTTCCTATTTTTTTATTACTCTTAGATTTTTCGGGCTTTGAGATGAATATTTTTTATCCTCAGAGAAATGCATTTTGTTTTAATGGCAAATGAAAGCAGTATCTAAATGTAGAATATACACAAATGCTAATTTGTTAGTGTTGAGTAATGTAATGGCTCTTACTGCATCATTTTATATAAACAAATGAACATGTTCTCCATGCTCTGGAATACTTTTAATTTAATTTATTAATTTTTTTTATTTTATTTTACTTTTTATCCTTTATAGTGGAGTAGATGTTCTTTCATTAACGACTTTTTTATTACTCTTTGAGCTTTCCGGCATTGAGAGGAATATTTTGTATCATCGCTTAGAGAAAGGCCTTTTTTTTTTTTTTTAAGCACAACAAAAATGTTTCAAAGAATATCGTACACTGTCTCATTTTGAAATATTGCTTACTTTTCATTGTTTGCTCGTTGAATTTTTATGAAAGACAGTTTTAATATTTTTTAATTTGAATTGTGTGTTGTGTTAAATAAAATCTGCGATTGTTTGGATATTTTTCCATATATATTTATTTGTGGGATAAGGGGAAAATTATATTATTCTAGAATGGGTATTTTATAACATTTTTAAGGAAAATATAATAATAAAGTTTTAAAATTAATCCTGACAACTACCTGAATATTCTTCTCATAATGTATCAAAAATTGGAACAATTGGATGAAAAATTTAATTTATACGAATTTTTTTGCAAAGTTAGGCTTAGCAGCGCAAATTGCCCGTCCCCACAAGACAATGCATCCGGTTAATGAGCCGTCCCAAGACAACGCTTCGGTAACAGAGAAGCCTGTCGTGAATGGGTTAAGCTAGCAACCATGAAATGCTGTGTTATGCTCCATCAATATGAAAAGCAACAGTTACTTCCTTATCAAAATCAGTGAAATAGTTAAGTTGCAAATTCAGTTTCCAATTAGTTAACATCAACAGATGGGTTTCTGAATTAAGAACCATGAACCAAACAGAAGAAAATAAAACGTTCCTAATCAGAGAAACACCCACTACTTCTGCATGCTTCAAAAATTTACTGCTGATGGCCATTTTCTTGAGAATGTACTCCCAAATTGTATTAAAAATTTCTTTGCATGGGAAAAAGCTAACTTATATATGGAGCTATCAAGTTTTCTTTCCAGAACGTAAGCTCTAATCTTAGACCAATTGACAGGTCAGGATTGCCTTTCTAGTTTTTCTTTCGATGAAAGTCAACATTAAATATTAATTAATCATCTGTATTGGCCTTAAAAAATGGCTGTAAATTTATCAAATCTTAGAGTTATATATAAGCACAACAATGTTTCCCCAAAGAACATGTACTTGTGGAGCTTCTTGTAGAAAAACAGATCAGTGGAAACAAAAATGGAAGGGGATTACTAAAGAACAAAGGATAAAGTTTACATGCAGAATTTTCTATCTGTGATTTAATGAAAGAAACTGTGAACTGGCAAAATCAGCATTTTCATTGGGAAAAAAAAATGGTCTAAAACTTCAAACTTTTCAATTATAGTATTAAGAGAATCTGAAAGAGATAGCCAGTAAAAGCTTGTATGTTTCAAAATTCTGTGAAATTTAGTTCCAGAGCCTGGCACAATTTGAAAGAATTTTTATGATTAGAGATATTCTGAAGAATATAGATAGATCCACAGCTGGTTCAGCATTTAAGCCCATGAATTATCGTCAGGCATTCTCAGCAGCTATGAGACGAAAATAGTAAGGAAGTAGTTTCAGAAATCTTAAAGGCTAAACTTTTCTAATGACAGCTATAACTTCCTTTACACTGTGCATAATGATATTCGCAGAATCACAGTCATAGTCTCTTCCCAAGTTAATCTGTGGATTCCAATAATGACAATAACAATATGCATATTTGGCCTTAATAATAATATCAGTATGCATAACAACAAAATACATATTTGGCCTAGTATCATAATCAGAAATAACAACGTACAGATGAAACTCCTATTACCATCCAAATTATCATCAATAGCTAATGCAAAAGTACCATTTTGGAACACTTACACAATTTCCTTTCACACAGAGTACATTATGCATCTAACTGGAACAGCTGTTTTAGTCCTTCTGAGTGCATCCCCCCCCCTTTTTTTAAAAAAGCTATGGCAGAATTGGGATAAAACCAAAAATTCATATCAGTACAATAGAAATATTGTGTTTCATCAGAAATTATGAGAATGAAAGCTTTCAAATTATACTAAAACTGTTTTCGTTTCTAAAAGAAAAATAATAATACTGAATGTCCAGATTTTGTATTTCAGTTGATTTCAAATTTAATTATAAACGACAATACAATATTACTTTATTTCATTATTCAGAAGTTATAAAAATTCAAGAAGTCATAACACTTTTAAAGATTTCACATTAAAAAAATTTTTAAACTTACCTTTTTTGGCAGTTTGGCTTTGGGATATTTCATTTGGTTGATGAGATTCATCATGAATTTTAACAGTAGTATCTACAAAAAAAAAAAAAAAAAAAAAGGTGAATGAATGACTATCAATGCTTGCTTTTATTTTTTAATTCTAGATTTCAATATGAAATAAAAAATATTTTTACAAAAGCTCTTTTTATTACTTTCTTGTTTACATTTCATACATCCCTAAAACCACTACTTCTCAAAATGATCAGCACTGTGACTATGAACCTTTGGCGCTAACAAATATGAATATGAACATGAAAATTTCCTAACCCAACCAAGAATACAGACACTTTTTCATTAAAGCTACACCATTAGGCACTTCTTTTGTTTTTGCTATATTTCTTTGGTGCCAGGTGTGCTCAGTTTGTCACTGGACTTCTTTGGATGCTGATAACTGCATAGAACCACTGAAAATGAGACTTCTTATTTTTAAGTAATCATAATTTTTCTTTCTTTATTCCCCCCTTCTCTCCCTTTCCTTTACTGCAATGGATTTTAAAGATCAAAAGATTCCTTCAAGAAAAAGCACATTCCATAATATTTTTGTTTGTTTGTTTGAACTTGTTTGTCAGAAAATTAAAATGTGATCTGAAACCGAAATGGCCATGCAACCTTCACTCATGCCAGAAGAAAAAGGTATCCTAACACAAACCTGGTTTGCTGGATCCTGAATTACTTTCTTTGCCATAGATGATTCATTTAATAGTAAAGAATTAATGTGTACTGAAATTTGCAAACTACAGCTTCAAATAAATCACAGCAGAACAAAATAATAATTAACTAATAATGTTTAAGTCAGTGGCTACAATAAAATAATGAAAATTGATAAAAGCTGTTTCAGAAAAAGGAAAAATAACATTCTTCCTCCATGACGGGCTTTGACAGGTTAATGTCATGAAATTGGAAAACGTTTTCTAGTAACTGCTCAGTGACTATTTAGAATAAAATAAACTCTCAGGGCCGCAACAATTTGATCGAAAGCCATACGGAAAATACCACGAAAAAATACATCAATAATGGTGCTGAAGATGCATGATATGGTTTTCGTAATTTTAGTACCAAACTATGAAATATATTAACACAGTCAGTGAGCTATATTGCATTGCAATTAATAATTCAACATTCACTAGAATATAAGTAACATTTCTCATATATCAATAATACATGTCATGATCCATTAAAAGGATTATGAGTTTATAGTAGACATGTACACCAGTTACTTCTCTTAATACGAACACCTGAAACAAGTAGAATGAAGTATGGATAGTGTCCACTAATTTGATCATTAACTCTGACATTTCTGATGAGTTCTAAATCCATGCAACAATGAGTGATGTAGCAGTGAAATGGAAACAAGAGAGTTAAAATTCCAATTCTTGTTGAGTAGCTGAAAACTTTGATACATAACGATTGCCAATGTTTTGACAAGTTGTGATGTCTAATTGACAGGGTTCATTAGAAAATATAATCTTCTTACAGGCTTCAGAAAATAAAGCTGCATCCATCAAGAAATGTTTGCTTATATCCACAGCACATTAAAGATGGATTACTATGTGGAACACAGTCCATAAGCTACAGTATTTAATCCCTTCAGGATAGGTATGTCATATATGCATCGACCTCCAACTGTATCATAGAGATGGATGTGTCATATATGAATCACCATTTAAATAAACTGTCAGGATGGGTGTACCACAAATGAATTTTTAGACAGAACATTTAATCAGTATATTTTTTGCCAGTAGATGTAACCCTATTTCTTATGATGGAATTTATCAAGAATGGAAAAAGCGGCTATTAATTGTGTCAGGTGATACAAACACATGGAGATGTTCTTGATGCTTCTGAAAATATCTGCTTTTATTTTTGGCGATATTGAGATATACGTCCTACTGTTTTAGAGGTTTTATTCATTCTTTTGAAGAGATTGGCTAACACTGAGGCAAATATTTTATGCATCATTCAACAAAACACTTTTTTATGCTTCAGATGGCAAGGAAAATATAGTGTTTTCAAATTAATTCTAACAACTGCTTGAATGTTTTTCTCATAATATGCCAAAAATTGAAACAATTGAATCACAAATCTAATTTATGCAAATTTTTCACAAAGTTAGACTAAGCAGTGCAAGCTGGATGTCCCTACAAGATGATGCATCCTGTCAGTGCATCATTTAAAGAGAGCAGTTTAGTGACTGAGGCAACCATTGTGAAAGGGTTAAGGCATATCCAGTAATGATCACACACACACACACACACACATATATATATATTGTTGTTTTACATGTAATATCTGGAATTAGATAATCCAAATGTTCTTTACGCCTTTAGTTATCTTTTACCTATCCTTTTCTTATCATTTTATACATATATTACCTGTATGTGTGTGATGATTTGAGAATAATGCAGACAGATGATGAAGTACATACGAAATATTTGCAATGAAGTAAAAACTTGGAAGTCGTATAGATACATAAAAAGAAACAACTGTAGTAGATTTAAATCACATTTCTTTTTTGTAAATAAACAATTTTCAACCTCAAACAAATTGGAACACTAGTTGTGCTTGTTTCAGAACATAAGATTTACATTTTTGATATTATTGCAATAAGATGAGAGTAGCAAGTAATGACCTAAAGTGTGTTGTGTTCAGGATGAAATCTTAATTCGGAGTGAATTAGTTTGGATAATTCGGAGTGAATTAGTTTGGATTTTTAATACATTTGACTGGATAATTAATAATGCTCCAAAATTATTATTGGCTGTTTGAGTTTTAGCTCCTTTTACATCACCAGCAAATATATAAAAGTCGCATAATAATGATTAATCTAAAAATTATGTAATCCAGAAGAGTTATTAAAAACAACTGTATTGTGTAGAACAGAGAGGGGAAATAATAAATTTAAATGAAGAATTAAGGGAGTACTGCTAATTTAATTTAAATTTCTGATTTACATACTTTTTTTAATCTTGCATATATCTGTAAAAGCAATGACTTGTAGAAAGCTGCAATGGATTGCGGACAATTCTCTGTGTTATAACTCAGAGAAGCTTTACCATGTTGTTAGAAAGATGATACTCGAAGATGGACATAGCTGTAAATTCTACACATAATTTTATTCTTGGATAACAAATACTGAGGACACATATTCCTTTTATTTCATATTATCTTGTGAGTGCACTATACATCACATAATTTTGTACAGAATATATTTTTTAGAACAATGGGCAATAGGTGGCAGAGGCTCAGAAAGCATACTAGCATCTTAATGGAAAGCAAGCTGAAGCCAAATTGCACAGTTATCCAGTATAAAGGCTCATCAAAATCTTTAAGTTGTTTCTTAAGAGAAAAGTTTCACTTCTCAAAATCTTGAGTATAAGTTCAAAATTAGCTACGTCGTCCACACCACACAAACCATGTGAAATAGATTGATCTAGAAAAGACACAGTATAGAAAAATTATTACTATTTTTGGAAAAGAGAGGGAGAATTAAGGCCTTTTACTAGTTTAAATTATAATTTTGAGATTTACATATTTTTTCTCTCTTACATATCTTACACATGTGTTACATCATACACTTACATGTGTGTATGAATTTCCAGGCATATCCACTGTCATACATTATATCTATATGACAACAAGCAGAATATTGCGTTAAATAATTAAAGTTATAATTCCAATTACAACAGTTTTTTTCCCCCTGTTAAGCATTCTGAATCATACATTTTATCATTTCTCAACATGACAATAAACTAATTCTAAAATTATAATACAACAACCTTTAAATAATTCATCCCATTCCTAAATTATTCCTACTAATTTCTTTCATTTCTTATCTGCCCAGATGACAACTTATAATAAAACTACCTGGCATGATGCCAGGAGAATTCATTTTTAATTCTGAAGTTATTATAATTGGTAACATTATGTTCATTTCATAGCTGGCAGTTCAATGCAGTTATGCATGTATTTTTCAATTCAATTTTTATAACTTTGGAACTGGATATTGGATTTTAATAATTTTAGATTGAGTTGTCTGCAAACAAAAATAAATAAATAAATAAAGACGTACCATTACTAGCTGCCTGTGGAAGAATAACAACATCCTTTTGCCGAGCTTCTAACCTTTTTTTTAGCTTGAAAAACTGCCTCTGTGTCCGTTCATCTTTAAATGCATTTAAATGTGCAGATGAATCAGATAACCCTACATGCATATAAGAAGCTTTTAAAAAAAGCAACAATATAATTTCTAGAAATAAGAAATGTACATCCTTTCCTATATTATTTTTAAAGTATAAAAAGGAATAACTTGTTATAAAGAAATTATTCTAATGAAAAAGATTTAAATATTAAATAAATAAAATATTCTACATATATTTAAGTACCAAAATATTACAGTTTACATTGTCACGAATTTTCTACATATCTAGATAATTTGAAATTATATGTGAAATTGTTGTATTATTTTCTGTACAGTGTAATATGAAAATCTTAAGAAAAGATGCTTTTCTGGAAAAATAATATGAAGGCAAATATATTTAACATGGAATAAATGGCTACCTCCCTAAATTGGCAAGATCGCAAAGGTGGCAATTGTTTTGACGTCTAATTTTTATTGCCAAAAGCTGCCAAACTTGGCCACCATTTGGGGATATTTTGGTCTGGTCTGTGTATAACTGTAATGGGTACTGTTACTGAATAACTCTATTTGATTTTCTATGTAGCTGTAACTATATATGGCCATCATACGTCTTCCAGTAATTTTGAGAAGTGATAGAAATTTCTCTATGGCTGGGTGAAAGCTAGGCAAGACCTGAAAGCGTACTAGTTTCTAAGTTGTTAGTTCAGCGCGAGTTCACAGTACTGAGATATCTCTGGGTTAGCTTCACTCTTTAGATGAACTTTTCATTGTGTTGTATTTAATGTTCTTAGTAGTTTGAAGTGTAAATACTGATTGCATTCTGTGATACTGTGAACACATGTACAAGTATTTCTGTGGAAAGTCCCAGAACTCAGAAGAATTTTGATAGAAAATTTTATCACCCGTAAGCAGCAACAATATTTGGTATCAGGAGTGGGGTCAAACACTGGTGACAAGAGCAATGGAGGAGCAAATAAGACAATTCTTGACTGCCTTTCCTGCATTCCAAGAAAAGATAGAACAGGCCGTCAACTACATTAAAGCAGAGATGAAAGCTAGGCAAGATTCCACTACAGAAGAAATGAAAGCTGTTCAAGAAAAAATGAAAGCTAGTCAAGAATCCATTTAAGGAATGGAAGATGTTCAGGAAAACATAGAATCTGATCAAGAATCCAGTAAAGGAGAGATGGAAGCTGTTTAAGAAAGAGTGAAGCAGGTTAAGAGGAAATGAAAGGGGAAATTACCAGCATAATAAAAAACAATTTCAAGGCTATGGAAGGGAGGATAGATACAGTTGAAAATAAAGATGGAGAAATTGAAGAAAGAGTTTCTTCTGTCAAAGAATAAATCGAACACAGGGTATCTGCTGTTGAAGACAAATCGATTACAGAATTTCTGCTGTTGCCAAAGGAAACGCACCTTTAAAGCAACTCATAGTGATAGCAGAAAACAATTCTGATGGTTTTGAATTGTTACCCATGACTTCTCTCTCTTAAGCTACACATATATGATGGTAAAATCTATCGGCAAGTGTACATGACACAATTTTCTACAGTGGCAGATGCAAATGGGTGGGATTCTCAAGCTAGGCCTGTCATCCTCTGCTTTGAGAGCAGAAGCAGGGGATATACTTCAAACTCTGCCCAAAAACCAGAGGTTAGATTTTGAAGCTTTATCTAGCATATTGGAGCTGTGCTTTGGTGAGAAGTGTTTAAAAGACTATAGCACACTTCAGTTAAAATGTAACCAACAGAAGCTAACAGAAACATTTCAGGAGCTTGCTGCAGATGTTAAATAGCTGTCTCATCTCGCCTTTCCAACTGAGATCGGAAACAAGGGGAATTCTGTCCCTGCAGTACTTCATCAATGGCATCTGGGATCCTGGTATACAGAGAGCCCTGCGAATGGCAGATGTAAAGGATTTAAAAAGCACTCTGGTGTATGCCATTAAATTTGAAGCAGCTCCCAAGCAATCTGTACAGACCACCACCTAATCAGATCTGCTCAAGTCCAAGAACCAGAGGATCAGGTGATTGCTCATCTAGAAAACCAGATAAGTCAATGCATTGAGACAGGACAGGAATGACAAGAAAATGACCCTAAAGTACTGGAACTGTGGTGGTGAAGGCCATATAAGAAAGAACTGCAAAACACCCTACGCAATGGAAAATAAAAGCAATCCCCAGCAAGTACACAGAGAAAATATTAGTGGCTATCTCAGGGAATGAATGTTGCCAGATCTAAAGTGTCCATTTCAAAGCACTTCAGATTCCTGCAGTGGGTGGCAGTAATGGACTTTCTATCCTAGGAATTATTAGTGGAGTTCCTTGCAATATGACCATCAATACAGGAACCAACGCTACCATCATACGAAAAGATTTGGTTCAACAATTGAAAGGTATACATATAGATGCCACCCTACATCACCCTTCATACTATGTCTACATGGATGGAATATCAACATGGATGGAAAATTAAACATTAATCTAATGTCTGAAAGTGCTGCATACCATTACACGACACATGTAGGGAATATTACAGACCCTTGAATACACAGATTAGACTTGGAAATACAATTTTTTCTTGCACTTTAAAACTGTATGTGCTGCTTTTGAGGACATAACCCTATTTAGAATTAATTATGAAGGAGTCAAATTTTCTCACCAAATCATAGCTCAGGACTACACCAGCAAGAACAGATTTTTTACTTCCTGTATCCACAGACAGAAACAGAAATTTTCGGTACGGTATAAAGGAATATCATAAGAAATGCAACACCCCGCAAGCAGCACTAGCAGCCTCGGCACTCATCGACATAAAACAATCATGTAGTCATTTGTTCTGTGCCCTGATGTTTTAACAGTAACACTTTTTGTACCTTTGGAATCAACAGTTGTGTTTGAGAGCACATAAAAATTCAAAGGAACCTCGTCCATGTTTCCTACTTGCGCAAGTTCAAAATTTTCTCGTTTTCCTACATTAGTGATGAATCGATGAAATTCAATAATTTTTTTTCTATATTCGTCTAGCATCTTTTGAAATATTTTTTAGTCTGCATACATAGCTGGTTTCTCAAATGAGAGTTGCAAATGTCTGTGATGAAGCAAAAATCAAGAAAAGCGAAGTGGTTGCAGAATGTACTTCAGTGACTCTTATTAAATGACTCAATAGTCTGTAAAGCACCGTGTTTTCAGAGATCCTAATATGGAAGATATTGCAGAGTGCACAACTAAGCAATGAAGACAGCAGTGCCACTAAATGTGTCATTTAAGAATTTCAAGATGTTTTCTCCTACTCATCTTCTGACATAGGCCGATCCCATTGACACAGCATACAACTGATATAGAGGATCATTCACCAATCAAGTAACATTAAAGACTTCTACCTATTGCTAAAAAGGAAGAAGTAGGGAAACTTATAAAGGGCATGTAAGAAAGCGACATCATAAAGGCTTCAGCAAGTACTTGGACCTCTCCCACTGGTCAGAAAGAAAGATGGTTCGACAAGATTTTGCATTGACTATCCCCCAGTTGAAGGAGGTTACAAAGAAAGACAACCACTGTATTCCTAGAATCAACAACATTCTGGACACTCTTTCTGGAAGCAAGTGGTTTTCAATACTTTATTTAGAGTGGATACTGGCAGATAAAGATACACCCTGATGACCGACAAAAGATAACATTTAATAACGAACAAAAACTTTGGCAGTTCCATGTGATGCCTTTTGGATTGTAATGCACCAGCAATATTGAATGCCTCATGAAGATTGCATTGGAAGGTCTTTCTTACAAAGACTGCCTGGTATACTTGAAAGACATCATCGTCAAAAAGAGTTTTAACAAACATTTAGGAAATCTTAGAAAAGTTATTCAAAAACTGAAAGACGCCAATCTAAATTTAAGTACAACTAAATGTAAACTATTCTTGGACATGTAATCTCTGCCAAAGATGTGTGTACAGACACAGAAAAATTGTCAGCAGTCAAAGACTGGAGATGCCCCGAAAATGCCCATCAGCTGAAGAACTTTTCTTCCTTCGCAAAACCATTCACAGCCTGACAGTGAACAAATAAAAGTTCTTAAGGACAAAAGAATGTGAAGATGTGTTAAACAAACTGAAGGCGACTTCAAAATCTGTGACACTCCAGATGCATCCTCAGTTCAACAAACCATTTATTTTAATCCCAGACATCCTTAAAGCATTATACAGCAATCCAACAAGAGGTAACTCCAGAATAAGAAAGACATTGCATTCATACAGACAAAAGACAGAGTTCAAGAGCACTTCTATTGAAGTAATGCAACGACTGACCTGCAAAAGTAGTGCCAATCATGCGATGCCAACACAGTTCGGTAAGGACTTAACAAACGCAGCCAAGGGAAGCTCCAAAGTTACAATGAAGCACCCCCATCTGAATACGCTTTTCACATCCTGGTACCTCAGCAATATACTGCTGACTGCAACAAATACATCCTTGTTGCCATTGGCTATTTCACCAAGCGACCTGAAGTGTACCCTATTCCTGATCATGAGACGGTCACAGTAGCAGTAAAGAATTCTGCAATTTACTCGGCATTGAGAGAAACCAAACTACACCTTTACATCCCTAGTCAGATGGCATGGTAAGAGGTTTAATTGAACCAACCTTAACAACCTCTAGCTAATGTTTTCCAGAAACCAAGAGGACTGGGACCACAAGTTTTCAGTCTTCTTACTGGCCTATCACAGTGCTATCAGTGAGGCTACCGGTAATTTTCTGTCCCACATGCTCTTTGGGCGTGACCTTTGTCTGTCATGTGATCCCTTGCTTAGTCGTCGTCCTGATAAACTTTCATCACCTGAGGAGTACATTCAAGATCTCCAAGCACGATTCAAAGTGATGCAAAATTTTGCGCTACAGTGAGTCAACTTGGCGACAGAGAAGATAAAGACCCAATAAGCAAGATAAAGACATGTGAGGTACAGAACATTGGTTCAACAAATGCAACAATATATGCTTAGAGAATCCTTTCTCCTAAACTACAGTCACCTTGGGACGGTCCTTACACAGTGCTAAACAGGCT